CAGCACTCCTGTTGCCTTCACTCGGGAACGGTAGTCGACTCTGTTTGCCCTCGCAGCATATTGTACAGGAATTCTTGCTGATTTCTATCTTCTTGTCAAGTGTCAAACCATTGACTGCACTCTCCATTTTATTCAGGTAAGTATTATTCACATGTCCTAACCTTCGATGCCAAGTCTCAGTAGTTACCATTGCAGCAGGTGTGAAATTAGCTGATTTGTTAAGTTTGTAGACTCCATTGATAAGTGTTGCTGTAGCCACCATAGTTCCTGCTCTGTTGTATATCTCACAACCTTTGTTCGTAAAAGACACTCGGTTTCCTTTACTTATCAATCGACTCACGGACAGGAGGTTGGTTGTAAGGCTCGGAACACATAATACTTCTTCAACTGACACATCATAATCGCACTCTTTCGTGGTTGTCCTGATCTGCACGTCACCTGAGCACACGACGGGTACTTTGTTTTCATTAGCGACAATTATTTCCTTCGGAAAACAGTCATACGATTTGTTTCGGACCCAATGTTTATTTGTTGTTAAGTGAACGCTCGCTCCGGAATCAACGTACCAGTCGTTTTTACTATAACTGCCATTCAAAAAATAACGATGACACACATTATTTACCACTATTTAGGTCGATTTAGGTATAAGAATAGGATTTAAGATACCGCGCAAGCACTCTCAAATTTAACAGCTGCTTAAGACGATTTGACAGTTGTTTGAGTAATGCTTAGCGTTGAATGGCGTTTCAGTATGCGAAAATTCATTTAAGTGGCGTTTGAGTGTAACTTAATTTGAGAGGTGCTTAAAAATTGAGAACTGCTCAGATATTGTTTTGAGTATGCGAAATGTAAGTTTAGGAGCTGCTTAACTATTTGAGAAGCCGTCAAATATTTAAATGGCGTTTCAGTATTCGGCCGTTAGAGCTAGAGAGAGCTCTTGCTGCTACACCATCTTGCATTAACAATGACTAATGTCAAAAGTCACTCAAACTCAATACAAAAACACTGGCTACGGTTAAAGGTTTTATAGAGTAATATTTTTTTGTTTGTTCGCTTTGGAGCTCACGGATTAAAAGTGGTCCGGTCCTTTATAAGGCTTGCGTGGGGATACAGATCCAACACGGAGAGGACGTTTTAAGCGCAAAATAATCAACAAAAGTGAAATTGGTGCACATGCTGGATCTAGTCTCTGACTATATCATGGGATGTAGCCAGAGACCATCCCCAGCCTGTGCACAGGCATGCAAACTCAATACAAAAACACTGGCTACGGTTAAAGGTTTTATAGAGTAATATTTTTTATTATTATTATTTATTGTTAAGTTTTATTAAACCTCGAAGAAAGATAATTTCTCCGGTGTTGACGGCTGACTCACGGACCTAGGCCAAGTGAGCTGCGTTTGCTGGATTGGAGTTTTGGGTGTTGTCGTCCTGCAAGAACTTCCGAACTATGCGGCACGTGTTAAGAATAGCGGCTTTCTGCATTGTCATGTAAATATTTTCCTGAATGTCTAGAGTGCGGAGGGCACTAAGTAGGTGTCTGGGTATTATTATTATTTATTAAAGTTACGGTCTCATTTAGAGCCAAGTTTCTAACTCTACACGCCCTAACTTCACAAACTCTCCACCTTAGTAAAAAAAATGTGACTTTTTTTTCATTGTAGGCGGACTAGAATGCGCGACATAATCTTCACGAATTTATATGACAAAAGTATGACCTTATCGTATGCCCCGATAAAAATTTATCGTGACGAGCATCCTTGGCTTACTGATAATGATATGTCTCAGTCTACGGTTAGCCTTAACCTTAACTTTCCGATATTACCGTAAACACTTTCCCGTGGATGAGCCTTAGATATTGATGAGTAAGCATTACAGAATGGATCTTAAAACTCGACTCAATTCCAAGCTTAGAATGAAGCTTTTGATGGGGACTTACTTGACTTGACCTATGGTCCTATGTCCCTTAGATGGGACAGAGGGCGTCCACAACAGTCCTCCATCGCATTCGGTCTTGAGCTTTGCGCTTGATCTCGCTCCAGGTCTTGCCGATTTTCTTCGCCTCGCCTGCTACAGTGCGCCGCCAAGTTTGCTTGGTTGAATTGCAATATTTAGACCCCCGGGACATACTTGGCCTTCACTGGTTGGGTTTTCATTGGCAGTCAAGCTGTAGATCCTGGCTACACAGGAGTTGCAGCGGTGAGAACGAGAGTTGGGAATAGTCTCGTAATCACATATTGAGATCGTTTTTCTGTGGAGCGGATCTGAAATTTTAACTTTGGAATTGTCCTGTTAGTTGATGAAAACAACTTTTTGTAATATTATTAATTGAAATGTTGATTATTCAAACAAATTAAAAATAATTGTATTAGGAACATACAAGTTTTGCGTTAATTAATTAAAGTACCTAAATTACGCCTAATTAGTTGGTGCTAATACTAACATGTCACGAAAAATAATGAAGATTTATACTAGTCAATTGTAATTAAGTTTCTAATTTTTGGTTTCATTTGTAAATATTTACAATCCGTTCGCTTTAAGTTTGCCGCTGGCGATATGACGTCACTCGAAGGAAAGCGTCTATAACTTTATCAAACTAATATTGAAAATATTTTTTATTTATTATTATTGATAAAAATTGTGTGTTTGCGTAAAATAAGACACATTAATTGCGTTTAATCATTATCTAATTGAGTTTCATCGCGGTTGGGGGAGGGGACGCGCATTCCACGGACCGGCAAACTTAGCGCGAACGGGTAGTAATTTATTTTTTGTCTTTGAAGGTTCTAACAAGTATCAAACACTTTTATAGTCCACAGCAAATTTCAAGTCCAAAAATTTGTTGGAAAATCGCATCTATTACAATGGCATAAGATGCCTCAGTGTTTAGTTTAACGCCGACGCGGTTTTCATTTCACATACAGATCACGACCCTCAAGAACACGTCCGAGGAAATTACTACCATTATTTGAATGTCAATGAACGTGAATCATTCTAGAAACATCTAGAAAGGGCTTTTGCATACACATAGACTTTCACTCAGTTCCGTGTTTAAGGCTATAATTTGCGTATGAATATTGCAAGCGCATGCCCTGAAATCACAGATCACAGAAACTAAAACGACATCTGCCAAGGGGGCGTGGCCTTTGTCGCAGCAATATGCCCAAAAACGGAACACATTGCTGCAGACGTCATAATGTAAACAGTTTACATTGCTTGCGTAGTACTAAAGATTATTCGAACGTTGAGTACCGAAACCGCAGTGGATAAATAGCACTTATTTTGATTACTTTGTTTATGACAATTTCTAATGCGACACTGAGTTTCGAACTCAGCGCATTAGTTGGCATCTCTCTATATCTCTATGGCTGAAACTCACAAGACTGGCCCAATTAAATTTTGCAAAAAGGAAAATCTATCAATACTGTTAATTCTTTCGGTTCGGACAAATTACGTCCACTGCTGGACAAAGGCCCAAGGATTTCCACTACGACCGGTTCTAACGCTGCCCGAATCCAGGACTTTCCTTATTACTCATAGTATTTAGGTATACTCTCACAATCTTCCAAAAAGAAAGCATACTAATACCATTAAGGCTGGTAATGCACCTGTAACTCCCCCGGGGTTGCGGATGTCTATGGGCAGCGGTAATCACTTATCATCAGTAAAAAGTTTGCTCGTTTTACTCCTGTCCCATAAAAAATACCCATTATAGTTCGACCTACCACCACTTCGGAACAACATTTCGGGTGGTGCAGAGAAGGAGTGGCGGAAGAGACACAGTCACCTTTGTCAGCCTCTTTTTTATTATTACAGGAAAATAATTTACTACATTTGTAATACCAGCATCTTTCGCAATCATCATCATCAGGTCATTTAGTCTCCACTAGAAAACCACTCTCTCTAATTTACTAAAGGCAAAAGGGAGGATCTACTATTACTGTAATTCGTTAATTTGTTTCAGCACAATGACATCCACTGCTGGACAAAGGCCTCCTTCAATGAATTCCACAACGGTCCTGCGCTGCCCGCATCCAGGTGCTTCCCGCGACTTTCACAAGATCGTCGGTCTACCTAGTAAGAAGTCTGTTCTGCTCACACTACGTCTTCCGGCTCGTGGTCGCCACTCGAGAACTTTTCTGCTCCAGCGGCCATCAGCTCTACGAGCTAGTTACTATGTGCCCCGCCCACTGCCACATAATTTTGGCAATTCTGTGGACTACGTCGATTACTTTGATACGTTACGTTCTCGTACTTAGTAACTATATTGGAGTACTAGAGAAGAAAAACTTATGTGTTTTATTTGCAAAGGAATGTACCAAACTCTCATTATAGTGGATCTTGTTTGGTCTGAGTTTCTATATTAATTACGGCAATTAAATTACGAGTAGAAACTGTATGTTTTTCTAAGTATGCGAATGAGAAAATTATTATGGTGACTTGGGTTTTGCTCTTCCATTCGAACTAGGGATATTCTATAGTTTACTATTTTTTAATGCCTTACGTTCTGAAACAATTTCATTTATTTTTTTCCTTTTTACATACGTAACTTTATAAAGATATTGACATGTTTGGGAGTGCCTAGGTATTGTAACGAATCCGATATGTCAAGCATTTTAGCTTTCAATTTGAATTTTCAGTTTCATTCTTGAATAACTAGGTAAAATAAAACGAATAAAATGAATAAATGACTATTATGTTTTATTTTTGTTTGGGTGGTTTGTTATTATTTTATCTACTCTAGGAAAATGAAGAAAAAGGTTTATACATTCATGAAGGGCATCACCTAAAATAGAATACTTATTTACATAGTATAATAGAAAAGATAAATATAATAAATATATAAATAATATATATAAACCAAGATGCAAAAAACAATATTTTACGTAAATACTTTCATACGAAGCATATTTACAAAAGCGATACGATATTATATATTTATATAGATACAATATAATTGAGACTAGAAGATATTGAACACTTTAACTATAAAAACAAAAAGTAAACATAAATAATAAAATAATTAAAGCTATTAACAACCTACGTCACAATGACGTCACTATCGTACTATAAAGACTTAACTAAAAAACAGGTACTGTGTATTGAAAATATATAAAGAAACGGCGATGCTTTGGAAACCATAGACAAGATGCACTCGTTCAGTTAATAAATTAAATAACAAACTTTTAAATAATTTAAATAAATTATTAAATAATAAGTTAAATCTCGATCTGAGGTCCGCGTAAGACTAAACAGAAAGAAGTGATGACATAATACGTCTAAATAAATCTTAGGTTTCAATTGGAGTAGGCATTGTACGCGAGGTTTTGCGCGTCAGATGACCTGCCCCAGCCTCCGTGGCTTGATCCATGACTGTAGTGTTCATCGTGGTGAGGATGAGCCACCACTTCGTAGCTCTCGTGGTGTTCACCCTTGGACAGCAACTTCTTGAGGAGGAGCAGAGCTGAGGCCAGGAGAGCGGCCTTGGCTAGCATCAGACCCTTGACAGCGGCGAAGGCGATCACACCAAGGAACAGAGGGATGAGAGACTGGATCTTCAGCTGCACCAGAGCCAGGATTGGGAGGAGCTGCTTCAGCTTCTTCTTCTTACCACGGCCTAGAAATACAAACATTTTTATAGGTATGGCTCTTAACTCAGTCAGTATTTGAGAGAGTATAATATGAGAGGGTGTTTTTGCAACGCAAACGTCAGCGAGACTTCAGATTCATATGCTCTGTCTGGTCATTATTATGGCCCACTTATTTGGTTTGGTTTATAAGTTTCATGACTGTTGTTTATTTCCTTAATAAATAAAATAAAAATAAGATGTCACCCCTCCCGTGCCGCTCCCATACCTCAGGCTGTGACTGAGTTAGAATGAATAGCTGGGAAATGGGAGTGAGCATGGGAAAGCAAAATGGTGGCCTAGAAATTTGTATTCCCACACAATCAACGGCGCTACTTTGCAACATTGTACACGTCTGATTTGAATTCAAAGCTGAAACTTAATAGTATCACTTTCATTGAAATTCATGTTGTTACGTTGAGTTTGCATAACATCCTTCTTCATGTAGAAAGTGTATGTATTATCAGTTTGAAAGCTTCGAACCCACTTACACACGTTGACAAGGTTCGCCCGGAGCGAGACTTTTACTCGATTCTCAATCAAGATTTCGATCACGGGCTAGTAACGGAACTGCAAACGCGTTTAGTCCTACATACAAGTAAGGTACCATAGTACATTTCCATAGAAATCTAGCAAAAACTAGACTCGGACAGCTTTCCACCATAATCAACCTTGTTAATAGGTTAGAGAAACTCAGCCGGACTTGTTTGGCTGGATTTATCTAGTATCTTCATTTTATAGCAACTGGATGCGGATGTCCGCTGAGTTTTCTCGTCCTAGACGTTTTCACGGAGTAAACCACGTATTTTTATAAGTACATAATTAATATTGAGAGGAACTTTCTATTTTAAATTCTCATGTGGTCTCTGAACCGGTTTTCGGTCGCGTTTTTATAATTTTACCAAGCGTTACGAACAATTATAATCCGAACATGACTGCAAGTTTATATAATCTCAGACTTTTTACTTTTACGCGCGTAAAACATTTAAGCAGCTCTCACAATTTTATCATCTCGAATAAATTAAACTGTTTTAGTTGTAACCTTATTACGTAGCAATAAAAAGATCAACTTTTTAAAATGTAAAACGGGTGCGCAAAAAAACTAAATCAAAGATCGTTCGGCGTTCATGACACAGAAACCAGTTATACGCGTGGACTTTTTAAACTTTCGTTCGGTAACAGCTGATGTAATAATTTCGTACGACTAATAGTATGGTATCACAATGGAAGTAGAGGGTCGTTTGATAAATTCGTTTTTTTCTTCATATCATTCAGGTGATTTTGTTTTTGCATAATCATTTTTAACGTTCAGTGTCATGATAACTTCTGGGGAACTCTACGAAAGTATGTGGATATTAGACGTTGAACTTGCTTTGTGCGATGGTTTAATGTCGCCATTGTTAAAATTACGAAACTACTTATTATCCCTTGGAAATGTTTGGGAACTGACCATGATTGTGGCTCTTGACTTTCACTGATATTAAATTGGCCACTTAAACCGGATGAAAAAATTTAATGCGGAATCATTATTTGGGCTCATTACAAAACAGGGGCCAATTAGCGTGGTTTCTAAATTTGACGTGTACTTGCTAATTTTTTAAGTTTACTTATTTGTATTTGAGTCTGTTTTAAGTGCCCTTTTCCACATTATTTTGATTTGATGGATAACGAGTCTACTTTAACCGATTGAGTCCCAGACGGCATTAATTAATATCATAACAATTGATTATCTATTGTGTCTAGATTCGCGGAGCTTGAAGGATTAAAAATAATAAACTTGGATTTTTTTATGACACACTCCAGCTACAATTTCGTTCACCAAGAGCCAAAAACTATTTTAGCCATTTGCCAAACATTTGTCCAAACATCCCAATCTCACTAAAAACATTGACCCAAACAATCCAATAAGGAATACAAGGTCTGAACCACGCACCATAGAAAATTACGATATCGTGCTACCAACACTGGGCGGATTCATTCACCAATGCCTTACGTAACACAGTGCGTGACTATACAATTACGGATGAAGAAAAAGGTTTGTATCTGGGTACTGATACTATTTTTAGATCTACGATAAAACTGGAGCATTATCAATTTAGTTCAAATGCAGGTGGTCCGTACTTTTTACTATTTTTTTAGAATCTAATTGGTTTGTGGCTGACATAATAGATATTGTGGCTTGAGATTGGTCTTTTTGCTTTCATTGTGTAGTTTAAAGAAGACGAGATTTGTTATTGAGATAGTTTTAACAGATTTAAGTGTTTAACTTTTTGTGCTTTTGTTAGAAAGATTTGTTGTGTACATTTTAGTGTTATCTTTAAATGGCATTATGTTATAATTTTTACTGAATGAAATTAATGGGATCATACAAATTTCTAGGGCATTCTTAGGGCCTTCTACTCGTATTATGTAGGTAATATTTGCAATGGCAAATGTAGAGAACCAAATAAAAACATTTTATTGGATTTATGGGAAAATATTAGAGCAGTCACCCGGCAAGCGAATTGTCGTGGGTTCGACTCCCACCTTAGTCAATTCGATTTTTTAAATCATCAAAAAATATCAACTAACCTTCTTCAAGAGACCTCTTCACATCTTCAACTGTGCTCTTGGGTACGCGGAGCTGGATCACATGGTTCTCCAGAAATTCCGCTGCAGCGTCCAAGAGTCTGTTCTCAACCTGGTTTTCCCTGGCTCTGGGTTCTTCTGAGAGGGGTTCGAAGGACCTGGCTGACCTGGGCGATCCGGTTCCTAGCAAGCTGACTCCATCAAGGATGCTCACTTCCTTAGCTGAGTTCATGTTTTCAACATATTTAAGGGCACGCTCCTGGGGAGAAAAAATTGGGGATTAGTTTTGTAGAAATATGTTTACTTATTGTTAGACTTAGGAATTTTGAATCCTATTTAAGTATAATCCTAGAAAATTAGAGTATTATTGTATGTGACTAAGTTTCTTGCGCTGCTTCTTCTCAGCTCTGGCCCATTTATTGTCCCGAAGCAGTGCTATATTTAAAGTAATACTCAAATGTGAAAAGCGCTTTTTAAAAGCCTATTAGCAGGAAATAAACGACTTTTATGACTTTATGAGTAAAATACAAAATAACGTTGCTTTGATGATATTCTATCACCATAAATGGTGGGAAATCAAGCTTTTGAAAATGATTTCTCACTCGCAAAAACTGTAGAAAATTAGACATTCTTGCGTTCCAAGTCCAAAGATCATCTTCCACACTGTAACGATTGTTACACAGTACAAAAAATAACTGCTTCTTTGAACTAGACATTCCTTCACTTGGTAAAAACATCTTTATTGTTAAATGAACTTATTGTACAACTGTAATAAGTCATTATAGTGACAAATAAGGCTTTGTCTAATCCATTTAAATGTAAATCAAACTGCGGAGTGCTTTAAGCTCTTCAACAGTCACTTTTAAACCGGATGATAGCTTTAGCGTTGACATAACATGTCAAGAGCAAGCTTTTAGTTATCTGTTATTTAATTTAGTAATTTTGTGAATCTAAAACCCTATTTGGCACAATAAATTTTCACGACTATACGTCACTATTTGAGCTGAAAATATTCACTCAACCAAAATCTTGATCACTCTACTTAACCTATGTAACACTTTGAATCCTGGATCTAAACACAGCACTGACACACACCTTCAGGCACAACCCGACGTTGTCTTCTGAACAGCTTTTGACAACTCCGATGACAGAATTGACAACGTCATCGTCCCCTGCCGGCTTGCAGGTCGCAGCGGCCACGATCGCCAGGACGAGCACTAAGGTCTTCATGTTCCTTGGTGGTAGTAAGTGGAATGTAGTGCTGGTAGTCCGACCCGTGGTTATATTTCGCCAGCCCCCACTTAGGGAGTGCGTACTACATGCGGTTTACGTGCGATTGGGCTCCGCACGCATAGAGCTGGCCAGTGCGTAATTGTAACAGTTGCAATGTTAAAGGCGGTGTGCGAGCGTTGAATAAAAATAAAAAGCTGTTTGTTACAATTTTAGGCTATGAATGAAAGCACTCACTGCTTATTATTTTAATCTAAATAATACTTTGGTAAGTAGAGCAGGATTGTTTCTAGATAAAAAAGATTTAGGTGTAAAGAAGGCTTCTTTAAGATTAAGTACCTAGTAGGAATTCTTTGTAGATTAATACTGTTTATGTATAAATATTACACAGAACTGATTAATAAAGAACATGAAGCACAACAAATTGCTCTACATTTAAGGCGATCTTGTTGCTAAGTCTCGTTAAAATAATTTGATATGTGATTTTGTAACATTCTACCCACAATTTCTACCTATTTATCTATGATATTATAGACGACAAAGTTAGTAAAAATAAAAATGTGTTCAATAAGCAAACTCTTGATATTAAATTTTAATTTAATATCAAGAGTTTTGAAGATTTGGATAAAATTAGATAAAAATTGGAAGCAAGATGAAAGCTAATAGTTGTTCCATAATTTGATACATTTTAATCAATGTTGCAAGTACCAATACAAAAGCACACTAAACATAATATTATTCGCAAATACGTAATTTTTCTTTTTTACCATTCTGCCAGCTCTAATACCCTTTAGGCCTATGAGCACTTGCAATTCACATGCTCTAGCAGCGACTTGATTGGTTCAAAGATCCGCTGCGATTCTACGCAAATTAATATTTACGCTATGTTTTCTATAATTGCATAACTCACCCAAAACGCAGACGATTCGATTCGATAAGTTTTTGAATCCATAATTTTGTATCGAGTGCAATTTTGATTATTTCATTGTGTAACCCGTCTGCATTTTAATTTATGATGTAATACTTCGCTGGACGATTTCGGAAAGTAGTTTGTGTCTTTGGACCAATTAGTGTGAAATATGAATTTTATTCAGCGTCTTTATATGACGTTACTTAACGTATGAATGAATATGCTCACTTCTTTTTTTTTCGAATTGATTGGTTAGCATGTAGTTATGAATGAAATTATTCTTATTAAGGTCTTTATGGATTACTTCATTGAGTTCTGTTGTGTATGTTGTTTATCATAAACACGTTAATCGAATAAATGACATGCTGATAAGTTATTAGTGATAACAACTACATAATAAGTAAGTGACTTTACATTCATCTAAAAACTCAACGTTAAGGGTGGGTTGCACCATCTTACTTTAACTTTGACAAACGTCAAAAATCTGTCAAACTCCATACAAAAAGCACCGGTTATCGTCATAGTTACGGTCAAAGTTAGGTGGTGCAACTCAGCCTAAGTTAGTGAAAATGCCCATTGTCACCATCAATCCCTAATTTTTAAGTGACCCGTGTGTCACCCTGTGCGTCCACGCGCACTGTGAGACTTCATAGTAATGTTTGTGAATAAAGGCGTAATTGTGTCAAACTCAAATACTTTCATTCACTAGAAATTGTTACTTTGAGTACTAAATTGTTCATATGAGAAAACTTGCAAGACTGCATAATCTAATCTGCTGTAGGCAGGTATATTCTTTACATTCTAGGTCAGGCTAGACTTGCTCTATGAATGTTTATACAACATTGTAGTAAGTAGCTATCTATCTGTGAAACGTATGAAAGTCCTGTGTACTCTGAATTATTTTAATTAACAGTCAGTAGTATACGGAAATTAATACTTCTAGGCAGGTAGTCGAAACTTAGCACAAATTTTAACGAATAAACTTAACATCGGGTGCCTGGATGCGAGCGGCACAGGACCGGTCTTTGTGGAAATCCTTGGGGGAGGCCTTTGTCCAGCAGTGGACGTCTTTCGGCTGAAACGAACAAACGAACGAACGGGTGCAATACCGTTCGGTCCTGCCTTGTTCTGCATTAAAAGTCATTGGATCACATTGTCCACTGCAGGAGTACGACTCTCTCTAAGTTACCAGAGGCAGAAGGAAATTTTGGCCTACACTCCCTACGGTGGCCAGACAGGTTAGGGAGGCCTGAAGTTTGTCTTTAGTCGACTTTTACGAAACGAGAAGAGTAGTGGTGGTGATAAAATTAGTCTCGTTTCTCGTTTTACGAATAGCTTAATAATGTCCAGTTCACAGCTGGACAATATTTTCGAGTGGCAACCTCGGCTCGAAATGACCCACTTCTCGTTCGCACCACTGCAACTCCTGTATAGCCAGGATCTACAGCTTGACCGCCATAAAAACCCAACCAATGAAGGTCAAGTCAAGTCCTCGGATCGAAAGAGGTGGTGTAGGTAGGCCTCCCACTAGGTGGACCGATGATCTGGGGAAGGTCGCGGGATGCGCTTGGTTGCGGGCAGCACAGGACCGTTCGTTGTGGAAGTCCTTGAGGGAGGCCTTTTTCCAGCAGTGGATGTCATTATATTCCACTCTGCTAGAGCCCCTGACAATTAATAGGTACCTAGGAGGGAGAAGGTTTGGCTTTCATATATTGTTTTAAACTTTCATGGTCACTAACATATGTCTAACATAATATTTTATGATAATTATGTCAGGTCATAACATCTCACCCACTAGTTTCCTCAGTTACTCCGTGACCATGGCGCTTGCAACAGTGCTGAATCCCGTCAGTAATAATAATTACTCGTATGTTTGGCTTTGATGTTTCATAAAAAACTTAAATTAATTTCAGCTTGTACCAGCGTTCTTGTTAAAAAGAAAAGTAAAGAAAATTACATTATGCTCATGGCCACAATATTCACATAAGAAATTGACAAATTAACAGCGTTGTCGAACATCGTGTGAAAATTTACTGAATGGGTGGATTTATTTTCAAGTTACCGACTTTCATTCCCAGTGTCTTCACCGTAGGTTTTGCATTTTTATCTATCTCAATACTATCTAAACTTACAATATTATAAAGCTGAAGAGTTTGTTTGTTTGGTTTAACGCACTAATTTCAGGATTTGAAAAAATGTTTTTGTCTTGGATAGCTCATTTATCGAGGAAGGCTGTTTAAAACTATCACACTAAGGCTGGTTTGCACCACCTTACTTTCGTTCGTTCGTTCGTTTCAGTCGAAAGACGTCAACTGCTTTACAAAGGCCTCCCCCAAGGATTTCACAAAGACCGGTCCTGCGCCGCTCGCATCCAGGCACCTCCCGCGACCTTCACCAGATCGTCGGTTCACCTAGAGGGCGGCCTGCCCACGCTACGTCTTCCGGCTCGTGGTCGCCACTCAAGAACTTTCTTGCCCCAGCGGCCATCAGCTCTACGACCATCTTACTTTAACTTTGACAAATGTCGAAAATCTGTCAAACTCCATACAAAAAGCACCGGTTATCGTCATAGGTCGTCGGTCGTCAAAATTTTGCACCACCTAATACCGATAGGAACAGAGAAACAATGATAAATATTGGGAAAACGGGAAAAGAAATCGCGGGCATAGATAGTGTAGTTAAGTCATATTCAGAAATAAGTAATAGTCATAACTTTTAATATTTAGTTATCATATTTAGTGAAATGTTGTGTGACTTGCACTATAAATCATAGCTAGTCATAATTTTGTCAATTAAGTTGTCTGGGTAGAAAAAAGTCGTTTCATTGATGTTGTATAATAATAATTATGAGAGCTTTGGCAGGTTTGGCGTAATTTTATCTACAATGAACCATGCTGCTTGAAGCTTTATGCTTTTTGAAGATCTGTTTTTAGTATGATTAGATAGATAACTAGATATAGATACTTCTTGTATCAAATCATGGGAAAAACAGGGGTTTGGCATTATTCCATTAATCGAACATGACAGTTTGCTCTCAGAAGCAAGTTAAGAAAAGATATTTCTTTTCAGTTATTATCAGATACAAGATAAAGGAAGCCTTTAAAAATGACTGAACTCAAGTAGAAGTCATTTTGTGTGTCCCAATCGAGAATCAAACCCAAGACCTCTAGACTCAGAGTCCATCTATCCATCTCCCTAACTACCTAATCACATAATATTTAGGCTGTTAATGATTATTGCTAATTTTAGAAATACGACAAATAAGTTTATTATTTGTCGTATTTCTAAAATTAGCAATAAAGAAAATAAAATTGCACAGAATAATAAAACAAAATTACAGTTTATAGTGACCATTTTCACAAAAACTGCTTTCATCCTACTTCTTACTATTATTATAAATGCGAAAGTTTGTATGGATGTCTGGATATCTGGATGTTAACATGTTTGTTACTCTTTCAAGCAAAAACTACTAAAAGGATTTTGATGAAACTTGACAGTATTATTGTTTATAATCCAGAATAAAATATAGGCTATAATTTATGACGATCTGTGATAAAATAAATTTCACGCGGGTGATGCCGCAGGCAAAAGCTAGTCCCAAATAAAGCTACCTTTTAAACTAATTTATCCACTTCCACAATAAACACGTGTACTCCATAGAAAGCTATAGCAATCAGACCATAAGTAGCAATTAAAATATATCATATTAGGGCTGTGTTTTAATTTTCTATGGCTAGTTTGAGCCCTCACACATCAAGGCCAGATGGTATCGCACATTTAATTGCACGCTAAGATTTCTTTACTTTACTTATACCGTTTAACTTTAACCAAACTGTTAGACTATAGTTAACACTCTGCTCCATCTCCTATGGAATTATCAAATAACATTTACATTTTAATTGTTTGTATTTGCATATTACTTGCGTTTAGTGAAGGGGTAAAATATAGAGTAATAATGGCGTTTAAGAAAACTAGTCGAGTTTTGTTATTTTAAACTAGCACCTGACCGTGTCTTTTACTCACATTTGTAAGGGTCAATTAAATACTTCTTGATCACGCATAGTTGTTCGTAATAATTTATCTTTATCTTTATTTACTAGAGAAGTCAGTGGTCTGGATGCACTATTT